AAATACCCTTGAGGGCAAGTAAAATTAAAGATAGAATGGAAATTTGTGGTGTAGAATAAATCCAAGACAAAGACTGTTCCCAAACACCAGAACTGCGTGTTTTACCAACCACATTGGCGTCTTCAGGTGATGAAGTAGAGTAATTCCTAACTCTAAAATTGCAGAACTCAATCCTTCAGTATCGAAATACAATTCAAAAATGTTTAGTCTGTCACATCTTAATCTATAACATCAATCCTGGGACACATTGTATGTTGAGCAGTTTGTGCAAAAATGTTTTAGCAGCCAGGTTATGTAATATAATGCAACAAATAATCAACTACAGTACACAGAATGATATATGGCCAGTGGGAAATAGACCAAACCAAGGGCCTGTTTTTATGTATTGTAGTATACTTTTGAACTCCATCACTACCTCAATACGACACTGTTTTAATATAGTTATAGTCATTTGAGCACAAATAAAATAATGCAATTGAGGATTCTAAACAGTATGTATTTTGTGTGCAGTTGAAACCAGTACTTATGAATGGCCATACTGTACTCTCTTAAAGATTAATTGCTACTTAATACNTCCTTTTTAATTAGAAATGAGAATATTCAATACTACTGAATGAAATAATCATGTAAGAATCTTAAAATTGAATTAACCTTCAGGTGCATTTAACCTCTTATATCCGGTATCCGGCGGCCTAAATACTATCCGGCCGAATACCAGATAACTAGCGCCTATCCGGCCTAAAACCGTTTTTTTTCAAGTATTTGTAGGTAAATAATTGCTTTGTTCAATTAGTATCACTTAAGAAATAAGATCAGTGATCACACAATAATTTTACAACTGTGAAAATGAATTAGTACTCATACTGCACTGAGAGCAAATTATGGTGAATGAATACTAATTTCTCTGCATTAAAAGGTAGCAAGCGGTTTCGCTTGTTTTCGTAAATAAGGCCAGCTTCAGAAAAAAGTCTTTCGCTGTACACACTGCACAAGGTGCTGAAAGATAAATACACTGCAATCAATATAATAAGTCGATAAATGATACAATTGTTAACTTCGCTCATCAACATCCCTATTGTTCGCGCGCCGCCTAGCGTGCTTCTGGACTTGCACCAAATGGCAATATTTCGCCGAATATTCGGCCGCTGAAAATCCGGATGCCAAATATTCAGCTGCAAGGTTGGCCGAATACCTGGTGTTTGGCTGGAACTGCTATCTGTTTCATCTCTAATAAAGATTGTAATTCGATGTTATAAATTCATTTGTTTGTTATTCAACACAGACATACTCCTCAAATAATCAGTGAAAGAATTGAAAAAAAGTATTGATGTTTAATACAAAAAAGCAGATCTCAGTATTAAATTGACTGAACCGTAAATTGAAAGGAACTAATTATTTATCTAAAAGAACAATTCATTCAGGCCAGTCTTAACTTACCTTCACTGTAGGTTAATGCACTGACACCTATCAGAAAACAACTACTCCCTGGCTGATACCACGAAAGGCGTTGGATTATATCCATTCCCCTACAGCGTAGGTAAGTTGAGACTAGCCTGAACAAATTGTTTTTTTCCATACTTTGATTTACAGCCAGTCTCCAAGTATGCCCACTACTTTTATGTAAAAGGAACTATATTTTATCTGTACCAGACAAACAGAAAGAATTACATAATGAAAGTTGAACTGTGCATCTTCCAAATAAATATTCAGTGTGTCAATTTTAAAACCTTCAATGGGCTATATCTCATGAACGAAAGCTGATATCGAGAAATGTTTGAAACCGTTTCTAGGATAGTAAGGGGGAACTAAAGTGACATGAAAGAGAACACACTCCCTAGGCCTCACCCACCAAAACACAAAAAGTTTCAATTACAAACCCCTACTTGTGATACATCATTGAAATGACTAAAAAATGATATCCAATGGTATAAATAATATCTCACTTCGCTCGCGTTCGATAATGCAGATCTGTTGTCTCAGTTATATCTGCTCTGTGTTCGGTTTTTACGAGAGCAAGGAAAAAATTGGTTAGCTCCGAGATCAACTGTAGGATCAGACATAGTTTTTATTTGTCATTTTCCATATTTTAGAAAAATGGGTTGAGTATTAGGTATTTTTTTGGAAAATTAACTTGTTGGTGAAATTTTTCACTCTTGACAACACATAATATCTTCAGAAAATACTTCGTGACACACTCTCATTGACATAATGATACCTTTTTTTAACACTAGTCATTCTTAAATAGTTTTGAAAAATGTTTGCTTTGGAAAAAATGAACGACAGTGTCATTGTAGGAAAATGACTTTATATCCGATAAAATATCCGATTGCCATATAAGACATTTTGATCACATTCAAACTCAATTTGCAATTTGTTCAATAATTCATACTTTTTTCAATACAAATGAAGTTACCTTGCTATTAAGATTTACGTAACCTTATTAAAACTTCTGCTTCATTTTTGCAACCTTGCCATTTGTAATGTTTACATGAACGCCCAAAACGTTCCATAATTCATTCCACTCGAGTTTACGACAGTAACGCTCACAAGCAAGTGAAACAGGAAAAGTTGCAGTCGTGAGCGTGATCGTTGTGAGCGCTTAGTGGAACGTACGGATAGTATCGGATTTGCATCTGCTCGCTCGACTCCAGATTTCTAAAACTGAATACACCTTGAATATCAGAATATTCATTGTAGTGAATTTTTTGACATGTATTTTGTGTGCAGTTGAAACCAGTACTTATGAATGGCCATACTGTACTCTCTTAAAGATTAATTGCTACTTAAAACATGCCCATAATACATGCTTCCTAGTTTTTTTATATTCATAGAAGTTAATTATCCATATTAAAGTCAGAATTAGAAGGTGTTCAAATAATATCTCTACAAGACACTTTGTTAAATAATCAATAAAGTTAAATCTAATTTGGTTTGTTCTCTATTCTTGTATAAAGTTTTTCCTGTGAAGCCTTATAATTTAGCCATACAAATGATAATTGGATCAATCTATTGTTTCAGTTGCTGGGCTGGGCCTTTTCAAGATAATATTGTTCCTGTCTGCACCAATATGTTTGGGAAAAACCATTATATCCCTTATTCATTGTGTTGTTGCATCAAGAAATTTGGCTATTATTGATTTGAATGAAAGAAAAGATCTAAAGAAAAAGGCATTTTGAAATACATATATAAAGGTGCTAGAAAATATGTGAAGAAATAAGCATTTCAAAATATATAAAGAAGTGCTTTCCTTGGTGTTAATTTAATTTCTGTGCTAGTCATTGCCATTTTTTATCTTGTGTATAAAAATGTCATTCCATTTTGTAATACGAATGTATTTTCTAAAGTTGTAAATTGGATGTTTTAAACCAAAGGATCTGAACCCCCTTCTATTTACATTGTTTGTTACCCCATTGATGTTAATGATTTGTAAATTGAAACTTTATAGATATATCTTCCAAGAAAATGTATTAAAATAGATTCTATAGGTAATGGATCCTTTCATTTCATGAACAGGGAATTAAAATCAGTTTTACTAAACAATACATTTATTCCATAATAAATAAAAATTAGAATGAGATATCCAAAAAAAAAGTGTTTCAAAAATATTTTACAAACTCAACCTATTAGGATATTCCATAACTTGTAAACAATAGTATTAGTGAATATCTCAACATTCCAAAAGGGCACATGCTCTCTGAATAGGAAATATAACTTGTTACATCATAATATGTTACTTTCATCAGCATTTTTCCCGTATTACTTTTATTGAAATATCCTTTTCAAAATTAAGATCAACCTTTGAAGGATACACTGTTTTCAAATGTTCATCGACGTCAGTTGTTTTTACTTGCTGAACTTCCAAACTGTCATCAAAAAGGATTACCATATCCTTCAACAAGGTATCTAGAACCTTTTTGCATATAAATTGGGATACTGAGCTAGTTACTTCAATAAAAATTTTTGTTGTTGTGACTTCAATCTGAAAAAAATTATTTTGTATGATACCTAGTCTAAATTAAACAAATCTTCAAATTACCTTTGAAATATCCGAATTAGTTATGGGAGGAAAAGAAATAACTTCTTTTTTCATGTTTAAGAGACATGGGTACTGAGGTTTTCCCTCAATAAGATAGAGATATTTATGGATTCCACTATAGGTATTTCGCTTCTTTTCCTTTCTCAAATTGTTGGCCTCTGTTTGTAATTTGTTAAATAGCTGAGCACCAGTCATTGGACTGGCTCTATTCAAAGGTTTTATGAGTAGCTTGTCAGGTGGAGAAGTTGTGTAAGTTAAATTACCTGGTGGCTGAAAATTTTGTTTTATCGATTTTTAACAAATGAAAGTAACCAACTTACGAACTTATTGAAGTCATGTGTAGCTATCGTGGCTGAATTTCGTTTCTCACATACTGTATCATGAAGTTTATTTTGTAACTGGATGAATTTCTTGAACAACTCTTCTGTGAATTTTACATCAACAATGCAGGCTACAAAATGTTCTCTCACATTTTTAACAGCATTCATAATAATTACCTAAAATGATATTTGATGTAATATTTAGCAGAAAATGCAATATTCAACAACCTTAAAATTCTCATCAGCATGTGTTACTTTCAAGGTGTATTTGTTATTGCAGTTAGAGTCTTCCTCATCAGATTCGTCACTCGATTTCTTTTTCACATTTTTCTTAGGTTGGTCCAGCGTTGAAGTTGTTTTAGAACAATGTTGCCTAATGTAATCCAAAATTTGTTTTGATTTACATTGATCGATCAATTTCAGGAGTCTGCGATCAGATACTGGATTGGATTTCAAATTTAATTCTGAAATCACCATACATAATTTAGTTAAGGAATATATTTATTCAAATATTAAGACTATATAGACATAAAAAAGAATATTTAGGTTTCATTAGTGTGAATATTTTTAGGATACACCCACCTTCAAACAGGACACAATAATATCCAATCAATAGTGAAAAAAAATTACCCAATTAAAAGAACATGGAAGTACTAGAACCCAAAGAGAAATTCAAAGCAACCTAATTGTTTTGTGATATTTCAATGGTAGATATTGTTTTTTTATGAGTGTTGTGGCTTAGCAATCAATATAAATAGTAGTAGTTGACTGTTGCTGTAATAGTTAAATAAACATACAGTGTGTCAATTTTAAAACTTACAATGGGCTATATCTCATGAACGAAGGCTGATATTGAGAAATGTTTGAAACCGTTTCTAGGATAGTAAGGGGGAACTAAAGTGACATGAAAGAGAACTCACCCCCTAGGCCCCACCCACCAAAACACAAAAAGTTTCAATTACAAACCCCTACTTGTGATACATCATTGAAATGACTAAAAAATGATATCCAATGGTATAAATAATANCACGGGGTGAAAGACCCCGCTCAGTATGCCTGAGCGCGTGGATATAATTTTCATATTTGCCTCTCAGGACCAATGTTATTTAAAAACAGCTCAAATATTTCACCAAAGGCATCCGGACAAAAATGAAAGTCACGTGTACGTCCGCGATTTAATTGAAAAGTTTAGAGAAACGGGATCAGTGCAGATTAAAAAAGAATGCCCCAAGATTACTGAATGAAGCAACCCAAATTGAGGTCCTTGGATATTTTGCAATAGAGCCTATTGCATGAACACGTCAAGTATCTGCAATGACAGGACTTCCACATGAGTCGGTTAGAAAGTTGTTGAAATTACATAAGTTTCACCCGCACAAAACACAAATTCTTCAAGAGCTAGGGGATGATGATCCAGACTGACGAATTGAGTTTTGTGAAGTCATGACGGAAATAATTTATTTCGAAATATTCATTTCCTCATCGGTTGAAAAATATTGGCAACACCTGTTTCATGAACAGTGTAATCTAATGTTTATCAAATACGAGATGGTTACTGGAATATTTAAAGGATGAATACATGAAAGATATATCAATGAAAGTATTTCTAGTATGGAGAGTTTTTTAATCAAAGCGTTTGCAGAAGTTATAAAGGAATTGTGGTTAGAAGATTCATGTGATAGAGTAGTGAACACAGTCTCCAGAAAAGTCAGATTCAGTGTTTTGCCTCTCGATTCATGGGTTATGAGCATCAACACGCCCAGGAATTCCTTCGTTATCTTTTAGAAGGTTCACATGATGACATTAATAGAATTAATGATCTTAACAGAGATTGACTTAAAAATTGAGTGACAGAGAAAAAGCACAAGGGCATGGCTGAGATATTTGAGTGTAAATAACTCTAAGATTGTAGATAATTTCGTTGGTCAATTAAAATCCATGATGGAATGCACACACTGTGGACACTCATCAGTAACCTTCAATCCTTTCTGGGATTTGTCACTCTCCAGATCACACAGAACTGGCCAATTGATTTCAACACAATGCTTGGATTTCTTCACAAGACAGGAAACTTTAGATGGACATGAAAAACCGACGTGTTCAAGATGCAAGAAAAGAAGAAAATGCACAAAGCCTTTATCAATCCATAAGTTTTAGACTCCCTCTAATGGAAAGATTTAGATGGATTAAATATGAGCAATTATGCAGCAGACAATATGATTCCTTGTCATAATCTATATGCACTTTTGAATCACAGTGGGTCTACTTACAGCGGACATTACACAGCATACTGCAGACATCCCTACAGTGGCACGAATACATCAATACAATAATTCAGACGTGTCACCAATTTCACCAAAATCGCCTGTGAGTGGAGAGGCATACCTATCTCCTCTTTTATGAAATGGAGGAACCTAGTTTACACCTTTGAGATACCGGAGATGATTTTTTTCTTTTATTATTTTAAAATGTTATTTTCGACTTGTTAATTTTGTAAAATAATTGTTGGGGTATTTTCTTATAAACTATAATGAATATGAATAAAATAATGTTACAAACATTTTGTGAAAATTCAGGTTTGAAATAATAGTTCATTGTTTATTCATGATTTTTTTGCGATTTCACCATGTTAATAATATTCCATGTTAATGATATTCCATTGGTAGATATAGTTTTTAAGTGTGTTGTTGCTTAGCAATCAATATAAATAGTAGTGTCAAGATTGCATATTTGAAAAAATAAAAACAACAATAAAAATTTATTGGCGCTCCGAGGCAACTTCATTGATTTCACAGAATCTCCATAAGAACCATTTCTCAAGCTGCGATCGATCCTTCCAAGTGAAGAAGGGTTTCGTAGAGGGATCGATTCGGCTCTTGCTTCATGAAGCTCTTTCACTAAAAGGGAACCAGAACTACGAGGACTGCAACTCATATTTGGGGGGCAAGAATGACCTGAGTTCATTGTCCGCACTGAAAAAGAAGAAGGTGGATCAATCACTTGTGAATTAACCTTGATAGGAGACTGATGGGAATAGATTTCAGTTCCGTACTGAAATTATGGCAATGCATGATCTCATCAAAATTATGTGAAGGAGGAATTGTTCCAAGGACCGACGCAGCATTGCCACGTTGAATAGCAATACTAATTATTTCTATCAAAAAAGAGGTAGAACGGTGATCTTTTATTGCTTGGCCTATTCTCCTTCCGAGTTCATGAACAAATAACAGAGACTCCTGCCCATAAACACCAAAAGTTTCAACCGCTACTGCATTGAACAAATAGTTGTTACCAAGATTTTGGTGTTTTTTTCTTTTCAATTTCTCGCTAAACAATGTTGCAGTTCCAGCAGACTTCGAACTTCCGGCTAGATGGGAAGCTGCGATCCTGTCAATGCAAATGAAGTCCCATACCACAGGTTTCCCGTATTTCCATGGTATGAGAGACATACCATCTGGTCGTTTACCATCATCTCAACTGGTACCTAAGGGTTCCAGAATTGCAGGAACATCCGCTGACAACAAAGCTCGTTTCAATATGTCAATCACTTGGTGATGTCGAGATGTATGCCCTGCACTTCTCCTGCAACTTAAACCATGTGACCTTTCTCATCAACTGCAAACACAAGTATGAGGCACACAAATAGATGAACCCATCCTAAGTCCTACTGCTATTCTGAAAGATTCATCGTCTAGATTTCAGAAGTTTATCAGTTATAATGTTCAAACGAGGTCGGTCCCATGCACTTTGTATTTTCCTTTTATCTGTAGGAGGAGCAATATTAGTTGCGGCATGCCAAATTGATTAAACTTCAACGTCTTTGATATTGATGAATATGAAAGAAGGATGTTTTCGATAAGATCAGAAACACTATTGACTGATGACAAAAGCTGGTAAAGCTAAGGAAGAAGCCGAACGTAGCTCTAGTCCGCCAAGGTTTACAGGAAGCGTTGCTTGGAGCCATGAATCATTATTGAAATTATTGTATGTACCATATTCCGTCGTGTTGCGGAGTAAATTATCAAATTCGTCAAGCTCTAACTGACTTGACCAAGCGGTGGAACATCTGCGGTCGTACACGAGTTTTGGAATCGCCAAACAATTTTTCAAAAGAAAAAATGCAAAGTTCATTCAATCTGGTGGTCAGCAATTTGAGTGACTCCCGTTTTTCTCGAAGATGTTCTGAAAGTGAATCTTTAGAGAGAGGAGCACCCAGAAGACTCCATTTAGACTTTTCCAAAATTCTTATGCCAGGAGCCAATTTCAAAATGGATTCGGAAATATTATTCGGAGTTGAAAAAGTAATCAACTCGCATTTTTCAAAATTTAGTTTTCAAGTCCAAGATGTTTTGAATAATCAATCATTTTTTCTAAATCCTTTGAAACACTGTTTTCATCGCCAGTGATTGAGCCATCGTCCAAATACCAACAATTAAATTCGGATGATAAGCTTCTAGTGAGTTCGTTGATGGTCAGACAAAAAAGAGCTGGTCACCTTGTTAATACCTCTCTCAGACAGAATCAGATGTTCACCAAAACTCAAATAGGAAGCTGATTTATAACACTGAAGGGATATAATCCTGGAAACGAATCTTTAACTTTACGAAGCATGATGTTTCCTATCAATCATGTTGAAGGCATTTTTGAAGTCTAATTTCAGGAAAATGTTTGAATCGGGATTTGGATGAAGATTAATATATCTACGAGCAGCATGAGCAACAGCTTCACATCCACCTGCAATATCGAAACCAAACTGTAGTGTACAACTCCTCGGGAGGATGTACAATGGGTCACATGTGGCCTAAGTGCGTGGGCTTACACTCACCCTCCCTACTCTACAGATACAGAATTATAAAAAAATAAAGAAATGAAGAAAGCAATTAATTTCAAAATAAACTCTCTACAAAGAGCCTCCCAAAAATTTATTTTATAGAATCGAATCAGAAATGAAATGAAACAGAAAATAACGGCGTATTATGAATCCATTTCCAACAGTTTTATTGGTGTGTTACGAAAATATTATCATTTCATGTACGGGGCGTGGTGGAACCAGTGTATCGACCATGCAGTAGGTACAACTGATATTTGAGTTATTTTTACTGAATGATTGCATTAAATTGGGTATACACCCTAATAAAAATTCATCAGCAAATTTTTTCCCGGCATCACCAACCTCATGGAGGTATGTTCCATGCGATCTATTCACAAATGATTACTTATTTTATGTGACCTCTTTCTAGAATACAGAAATTGACACTCAACACTAATGCCTAAGGATATTGATTTGAATTATAAAAATAAATCAACCAGCTGCAGACCAAGTTCAAGAAAACATAATTTTTGGTATTATTGAAAATCCTGGTAGCAGTTTCTTTATACTCTATCCTGATGTGTGATTATATTTAAAAACACTTGAAATGGAATGAGGTCAAAATTCAATTATGATTCATAATGTTTTACGGAATTTCATTTTATTATATTGAAATTTTCCAGATAATCAGAAGAATTTCAACTAAATTTATAAAGTTAAAATGAAATGAAACATATTTTCAAATATTATCAATGTTTTTTCTTACCTTTTAGTTTGCGACAATCCCCCAGTTCTCCAGGAATTATTTTTACTTTATTAGAACTGATATCAAATACTTTGAGTGCAGATAATAGGTAGATTTTGTTCGATATTTCTTGGATTTCGTTTCCTATTAATTTCAATTCTGATAAGTTAATGAGTTCTTCAGAACAAATGTCAGGAAACTCCTTGAGTTTATTATATGACAAATCCAAAATAGTTAATTTGTTATTTTTCATGAATGAAGGGAATGATTCAAGTTCATTAAAGCTCAAATTAAGTGACGCAAGAGGCAAATCAGCGAATCCTTCTGGAATAGTTTGGATGGCATTTCTGGACAAATCCAACATCTTAAGTTTACTTAATTTTGTGATGTTTTTATTTATTGTTTTCAGGTCATTAGAATGCAATACTAAACTCTGTAAATTAATCAGATTCTCTATTTCATCTGGAACATGGAATAAATTTGTTTCACTAATATTCAAATAATTCAAGCCAACAAGTTGAAAGATTGATGCATCTATTCCATCTTTTGCAATTCTAGCACTTATATCTTTTCCACTAAGAACAATTTCATGTCTATTCTCAACTTGTGCTTTCTCTGTTTCTGGCCACATGGTGATTCTAGAGGCAAAAGTTAGACTCTCAATGTCCAACTAAAGTATTAATTGTAAAATTAAAATATATCGAAATGAATTAAAACAACTAAAAATTTTTTATACTGAAAAAATATGAAAAAACTAGAGTCAGTGGACAGCATTTTAGTATCGGATTTGCATCTGCTCGCTCGACTCCAGATTTCTAAAACTGAATACACCTTGAATATCAGAATATTCATTGTAGTGAATTTTTTGACAAAGTTCGTTTCTGACTCTTAGGTGTTGTTTCTGGGTGGTCAATTAACGAGGTACCTTGGCCTACATGTAATTTTGGAAGATATTCATTAGCTATTTGAGCATGGTTTTGGCTAGTGAACTATATAAACAAATCAGAGTATAAAAAATGAAAAATTTCCGCATTTTCATGTATTTTCCAATAAAAAAAATTATTATCAGATTTCAGTAATACCTTTGAACATTAAATGGGTTCAACAATGAAATCGAAATGTAATCTAATTTTCCGTTTGAACCTGATACTACCTTGGTCTTTTGAATAATTTTGAATATGATCTGAGTTGTAGTTCAATTTATTTGCTTTAATCTGAAAACAAATTATGGGGACAAATATTTGAAACAGGTTTCACGCTAAAAATCAGCTGAAATCAAAGTATTGACGTGACCAACATGAAGAAATTTGAAAAACCAGAATTTTTCTGTACGCCCTCTGCTGGCGAGGTTGTCAACTAGGAGTAATTAAAAACTCCCTAGATTTTCAGTGTCTTTGCCATTCTTTTGTCACCAGAAATCAATGTTGGTAGCGTAGCCTAGACTACAAAACAACCTTCTGTGAGCGTAGAATAGACGTTTTGTGATTGTGATTCAGAGTTTGCACAGTAAGGTTGAATGGCGTGTTAGTGCTTAGCTTGTTATTCATTTAAAATAATAAAATGCCGCGTTCTAAAAAAGTTGTAAGTGGATACTAGTGTCAGTGGATAGTTTCAGTACATATATATCGTATCTCAATTTCAAATAGTTGCTTTATAAATCTTTTGCATGACTGCGAATGATTAAAAAACGGTAATGTCATTTTTCTTATTGTGTCCTTTCCTGCCTGATTTGTTTATTTATGCATTTTTGTGCTCGAATAGCCCTATTTGGTACTATTAAATAATGTAGATAGTTGATTATGGGAAGCAAATATTGATTTGAGACTTTTTTTCGCCTTTTTCTTCTTTTTTTTTCGGGTGCAGCAATGTTAAAAATTCATAACCAAGAAATACAAAAAAACTACTTGGTTTCCGATTCGAATACTCACTTAAGGATTGACATGGTTGTTTCTGGCTGAGATCGAGGTTTATAATTTTGTTCTACAGCTTTAGGGCGTTGGTTCTCGCCATATTTGCATAATTATAAAAATTCAGCTTGTCTTATACATACTCCTTCACTTTCATGGCTCTACTCTTGAAGTTGTTTTTGAACCACTTTTTTTCAACATTTCTGAGTAGTCAATTTCGTGTGTCTGTTCAGCAAAGAAAAATGGAAAAAGTAGATTAGAGCTTTATTAATTTCATTCGGCTTGGTAGTTAATGTTTTGATGTTTATATTACAGAAGTAAGTTTCACTTTACTATTTGTTGTTCCTAGTCTAAAAAGATGATGGAGGAAGATGATAATCTGTCCGATAGTGACTTTGGTGAAGATGAAGATCCTGATAAAATTGAAGTACCAGGTTAGTGAGACGATACCTATTTTCTGGAAGGCCACATGTTATAATTGTTGTGCATTTTTAGGTGGAGGAAAAGATTTGGCAGCAGCAGCAGCTCTCATGGAAACTAGAGAAAATAAATTCAAGCAAGAAAGTAAACTCAAGCAAGAAACAACTATCAAACCCGATGTTAGAATGGGACAAATTCCAATGGCTAGTTATAATCCCAAAATTGGAAACCCTATGCATCCAAGTACTTATGATATGATGCGTAATCCTCCAAGTGAGTAAAGAAACCTCAAAAAGAGTACATGTTCATGAAACTATTGTCAGCATAACGTGAAATGTTCCACTAAACTATTTATTCATGTAATGAAGTCAGATAATATTCTTTGTGAGTACTTCTAATTGAAAATTCAAGTAAGTGGAGAGTAAGGATCAACAGTTTCTATTCCTTTTTCTCTTTGAACTTTATGCAAAGGAATCCACTAAAAAACTCCGCATAAAACTTTTTGTTAGCATTATGGTTTTATTCGGAGTGCACCAAGATTAATCCCCAATTTTCAAAATTTTGCAAATGACTTAAGTGTCAATCAATCTCAAATTATCATACATGTGTAGCAGGGATATATACAAAATCCAAATTTTTGGGTCCATGTGAAATATAAGCTCCCATTTATGTACATTTCAATCAGTAAAAAAAGGTATAGTTTATTTAATCACTAACCTCATACAACTGCAACGCTATACAATAGCTTTCTCAAGCGTTGTCATACTGACTAAATTCTACTTAATTTCTTCTTTATATAACATCATCCAGATACTACTTCCGAGGAGATCAGTGGATATCTCCGCAAATGTTTCCTGAGGTTGTTTGTGATAAAATAAAAAAATGAAACTTATTCCCTACGATGACACCTTCCTTACGGTCGAGGACATGATTATCTTGAATAACAAAAACATCAGTATTTTATGCTTGTCTGAACAATGGCAATGTGAATATATAATTCTATATATAAATAATTCTATAACTATAGTTCTCTGCTATCAACGATTGAAAAGTTTTAGTTCAGGAGTTGCCTTTGAATTGAATGCATTGGTCATTAAGGAGATATTAAAATAAGTTCTATAATCCGAATTTTTGGCCTAGAGGTGTAAGGTATAAACCCTTTGATTTCAATAAACAAAGACAAAAGAAAATCAGTACTCGAAAACCATATCATGTGGGGTCCCTGGACCCCCGCATGATTGCTTTTTGAATTTTGTTATATATTTCTGTAAAATAATTGCCATATACAGTCCTAACCCAACTAACCTGGTCTCGTTTATTAACGAACCAGATTCATATCTGGACAAAAACCAGACCAACAAAATGGATGTTCTCATTGGTGACATCAATATTAATTTATTAAATGAAAACGATATTTACTTAAACAACTTTCTGTACCAGCTAAATATGAATTTGTGCTATACATACTGATGGAACGAACGGTTAGTATCGGATTTGCATCTGCTCGCTCGACTCCAGATTTCTAAAACTGAATACACATTGAATATCAGAATATTCATTGTAGTGAATTTTTTGACAAAGTTCGTTTCTGACTCTTAGGTGTTGTTTCTGGGTGGTCAATTAACGAGGTACCTTTAAAAAATTAGGGAACCTATTACGAAATAAGACCTGGGATGTAGTATTAAGTGAAATGGACCCTCAACTCTGAACTGATCTCTGTTTCTTCACAGAAATTTTCCTGCATATGTAATTGGCAATACAACTGAAGTAGTCGACCTCCAATTTGGAAAGGGCACACTTGCAGACCAGTTTCAGGCTCCTTTGCAATGGAATATAATTCCAAAATTGAAGGTCGACTCTTTCAGTTGTATTGCCAATTGCACTGACGCCTGTCGGATAGAATCCAACGCCGTTCGTGGTATTAGCCAGTGGAGTAGTTGTTTTCTGATAGGCGTCAGTCCATTCAACCTACTGTGTAGGTATATCCGAGACAGGCTTGAACATTTAAAGTTCATTTCTTTACATCTAATAATGTTATTGAAAACTTCAAAAGTATACAATTATGGCACAAAAAACATAAAAATAAATATGAATGCGATTTTTTAAATTTCATTGAATATACATAGGCCACAACAAAATACGGAGATCATTATTAAACACTCCTAGGTTGTTCTCGAGATATTAATAAACAAGAGTGACAGACATTGTAACTGCCAACGGGAATGATGTGAAGAACTGAAAATTCAGAATCTCATTCAAATAAAATGATTTGACACTTCAAATAATTTTTAGGCAGTTCCTTGCTGAATTTTATTTATTATTTTTATAAACTGATGGATGTAGTGTTACTATGTGGTAGGAAATCATAATGGAGAAAAGAGAAATGAAACTTTTTGTTTTTTACCACTTTTATTTGTAACTAACGTTACTGCAGTATCGTCCTATACGGACATTTTCATTTTCATACAATACATTTTATACATTTTCAAACTTATACATTTTCATTTATTGTATAACTTTGAAAATGTCCGTATAGGACGAAACTGCAGTAACGTTAGTTACAAATAAAAGTGGTAAAAAAACAGAACGTTTCTTTTCTATTTTCTTGATTATTTTTATATGTGGAAGGCTATTTATCAGCTCAAGTATAGGAAATGAATTCAATATTCCTCTATTTTTATATTTCGAATATTAACTCCATTTTATTAGGATTCAAAGTTGCCAACAACTTGAAAACATTTNGTAGATACAAAATCTACAGCATGCATGCACATATAGTAACAGTATTCTCAGTCGTGCATTATCAGATACTTGAAATTTACGTTTCCATATATCGGAGAGTCAATTTCAATTGTTGGAATCTTACGTGAGTCTCGAATTTCGCTTGCTGAAAAATAGGTCACACCTCTGTTCTCTCTGCCAGCGTAAATCCTATTTTTCAATGTCCCCCATAGAAAATAGTCCAAAATAGTAAGATCTTGGATAAATTTGTATCATATAACACTTAATTTGAACCCAACATATTTTATAATTACTACTGTACACTAACATCAACATACCTAACAATTTCATACTCTGTGGCATTTGATTAGTAACAAAATTAGTGACAAAGACAATCTGGTCAGCGATCAGTTCTATAGTGACAATTAAAATAAATCTTATTAGTAAGTTTTTGATATAGATCTTCATCAAGTATCAGCCAGTTCCATTCAATATAAGCAATAAATTGGAGTTTTTCCTTTATTTTAGTGCGTCAGGCTGCAGCTAGGGCTGTTAAACGGAACAAATGGTCAACGTCAGACGATGATGATGATAAAAGTGATGGATCAAATTACGAAGTAACTGACAATGAAAGTGACATTTCTCCTGAGAATTCAGATTCGAATGCAAGCAGTGACTTTAATCCCTTTCATTCTGGTAGTGATTCAGACGATGATCCTTGGAGCAGAAAGAAAAAGGGCAAGAAACAGAAAAAATCACCAAAGAAAAGACCGTCAACTCAAGATAAAATTTCTATGTTACTAAATAAAAAGACAAATAATAAAGGTCAGTTAACATAACAGAACTTACCAAAATTATAATAACTTATAATGGAAAATATGAAATTTAGTAAAAAATACAAGATGTCAAATATATCCTACCAATTTTTATTTGTAGCCAAACCGAATGGGAGCGGACTCAGAGTTGGTGCACCTCCAATGGACGCAATTGAGCGTGCTTGTAGTATGAAAGAAGAACTTCTGGCAGCAATAGAAAGGCTAGGTGACAAGTTACCACCTAATACATTAGATCAATTAATTGACGAACTTGGTGGTCCAGAAAATGTAGCTGAGATGACAGGTAAAATAAAAGTCATAATTGTAAATATTTTATTCAAGAAACATTTTGTTGTGAAATTTTTGCTAAACAATAACTTCTTCAGGCGTGTTTATATGGTATAGACCTGCCTAAAGAATCTATTGTATAGCGAAACACGTATTGTGTTTTGTAAAACTGTTCAATAGAAATCTCACAATAAAGTATTTCTTGAATATGTTATGGATTTTCATCTCCACTCCACACTCAGCTATAAATCACATATTTCCAATGTAATTCAGAAATCCAAGAAAATGCTTGGCTTTATACAGAGAACCACGTGCGATTTTACTAACATCCCTGCTATCGAATCTCTTTATTTTTCCCTGGTAAGATCTCATCTCGATTATTGTTCCACAGTTTGGTCCCTTCATTATGTTACACATAAAGTGAAACTCGAGGCTGAATAGCACAATTTCCTGATATATATTGCCTTCAAGATGCGTGTATACTATGACTATGTTCCATTAGAAAGCATATTTAACATACCTTCTCTCGAGGCACGTTGAAAACATAGAGACGTAATTCTTCTATTAAAAATGATCAGCGAACTGAGTACCAGTCTCGAGCTTCTATCCAAATTATCTCTACTTGTCCCCAGTCGTTCAACTAGGCAGTTGCAAACCTTTTGTTTCTTTTCAAAGATTCAATTACTCGTAAAACAGCTTCATACCCAGAACTCTTTGATTAGCTAACTCTTTGAATAACCTTCAAATTTAATGAAAATGAGAGAAACATCCCCCACCATCTTTCAAGCAGGTGTGAATAGATATATACTCGAAACTTTCTCGAAAGGGTCATTTTAAGACTTCCGTGGAACAAACAAAACTCAAATTTCATTTTTGCTGTTTTGCTTTTATTGTGGTGATATGCTTAATGAAGTTTAATTTTTGGTACTCTTTGTTTTGATGAAATATGTTATAAAATACTAACATTATTGAAATTTCTTTCAATTTCTTTCTTATGATTCAGCAAATGTTCTTTGTTTTGGTGCTGTATTAGTGTAGTGCAATAAGGAATTTATTTTTCTGGAGTAACATGATTGACACATGATTTCTAATTATTTATTGTGGGTTAATTGGGGGTTTTACATTGGAAAAGGATGAACTAGTTAAAGTTTATAAAAATCAACCCAACTGCTCCTGATTCTCTAGGATTTCTGATGGAAGTTATAAAAAAAGATCTCGGTATTTATAAAAAAGTGGTTTTTTCCAATTGAAAGTTATTTATTTAAAAGTTTATATTGCAATGATACAATAATATCACAGCATGAGTTATTGATCGTATAAACGAAACTACTAAAAAAGTACATTTCAATAGTGATACTTACTTCTGCGAGTTATATTGAAATTTTTATCAAAAATCCACTTCAATCGTCAACCTGTATTTTTACTGTCTTCCTTTCTACAAAAAACGTTTAAGTGATATTGGTTAACACTTGCTCAATGTAACTTTCTGTGTTATCTAGTGGTGCAGTTGGTCTGTTGAAATCTATTTTTTGTCATTGTGTATTTGTTTACAGTGGGTTCCCCTTACGGCATGGGCAGTGTGGCCGCGATGGCAAGCATGCTCAGTAGTTTGGGGGGGCCCATGAATATGGGATCTATGTTCTCGCCTCAACCTGCAGCTGGCGCAGGCTTCAACGCTGCACAATTTCTGCAGCAGAGTAAGTCCTATCTTAGGCGCTGTGAGTGTCGTAGATGTTTAATTTATATTTTGTATGAAAATAAATAAGCCGTTTAATTCAAAAGTATCATTTGTGTGAGTACATACTTTGTCTTTTACTTTATTATGTATGACATCACAGTATATTCTGTTACCTTTCGAAGAATATTATAATTTTATGGTCACATCAACATTTAAACAGCATACAAGTAAATTGATTTAGGAAAAATATCCAATATATTGATTTTTTTTTTCGTGGACAGGGATGTGATTCACTTCTTATGCCGAATATTTTAAATGTATTCCAATGTTTCTGGGTTTATTTTTATTGTGATTACTTAATTCGGAGGTGTATAGAAACTTCAAGCAATAAAATTTCAAAACTGTTATACTAAAATGTCTTGATCAATGTTGAGGCAAATGTATATTCACAATTTTGATATAAATTCTCGATAAAACTAGTTCGACTAAGAAAGCAACTTTGTAGCAAAACACGTCTTTAGTAATGTTATTAGTGTGAATATTGTTTATAATCATGAGTAGTGTTATAAATTTCCATCAAGTAACGGGTCAGTGAAATAATTTAATACTGGGGGAGTTGATAGATATTTTAAATTATTTCGCTACCTCATTTAAAAACAAACAGACTTTTCCAAAAAAAAAAACACTATTTTTGCCAACAGATCGATATACATCAAATGAATAATATACCAAATTTATCAGAAGTAAGAATATTTCAGGTGCACACACGGAAAACCAATACAATTTGAGATCGAATACCATCATAGAAACTAATCTTTGTTCAAAAGTAACTTTTTGAAAATATTTGAAAAATTATTACTTTTTTCCCGAGACTTTTCACTAATGAACGATTCTTAATGTATATTTTAATTCAGTAGAAATTGAGCACCTCTTATTTTATCCATGAGCTCTGAAAGAGACTACAGTTGTATTTCACGAATTCTTACAAAAAATCGTCATATCAACTAATCTAGCCGGCTATTCTAGGAGACATTTCTTAGGTAAGAACCAATGCAGACGAGCATATTCTTGCATTCGATCATTTGTGTTGACTCATAAGAGACAACAAACACTTAATTTGCAGCAGATTCGTACGCCCATGTGAACCAGGTCTGAACATTTTAAACATTCTTCAGTGCAAAGTTTTGATACCATTTTTCTTAAATAATATTTATTCTTTGTTTGCATTTTTTTTTTAATATTACTTAGGAACGGCTGTTACAATTACTGAAAGTGAAATCGTGTTGAATAGAGAATCAAAATACCTATCAAACGAAAATATCGTGAGACTCCATTGGGAAAAGTATTGGTACAGCTCATCAAATCTAGAAAGAGACTTGGGAATTATCTCTTTCTCTCTCTCTCTATCTCTCTCTCTCTCGCTCTCTCTCGCTCGCTCTCAGTCTTCTAACAAACGCACATCTAGTGGGCGGGACCACAACGTAATTCAGAAAGCTCTTCCTACATTTGACAAGCTGCGGCACTCTCAGTCATTGCTAATTGTCTTTCTTATGAAAAACTACTTGCCTCTTCATATACATTTTGTCCGGAATTGATATATTGGTTCGAAAATTGAGAGTGGGGAACTTTGTATGTATGCACTGTTAATGTTGAAAGTGTGGACCAAGAAGGAAAATATTGTTCACTGACATCATTGAACATCGATCATACTGTCTGTGGTAGGACATAGTTTTGAAAATAAATTGTTTGAAGATAATTGATGACTAAATATTCGACATTATTGTGGTTTCTTTGGTGGATTAATTTGATATCAATAATAACTTATACCTGAAGAAAAATGCAAATTGTTGTGTACCCATAGACATTCAGATAATATTATTTTGTATATTATTTTGTTTGTAAGAACAACTTTTGGTAGACGTGACATTTTAATAAGATAAAAACAGTTCAGCTAAATCATTGTAGAAATATATGTAGGTGATTATTGATTTACTTTATGGTAAAGTTTATGAAACGATAATTTTTTGTCGAATGTCCACAATACTAAATGAACAATGAAAAACTATTTGAACTGTATACGTGCAGCATTATCAGTGATGAAGTAGAGTACAAGTAAAAGGGGAAAGTGTGAAAGTATACTTTTGAATTAATCGTCACTTTATAGGAAATGGAGCTTATTTTTTATGAATTTCTCAAAATTGGTTGAAATCATTTAATTATTAAAAATTTGGAAGATTGGTGAGTTCTTTTCTCAACCGCAAATCAGTAAATAGAAGTTTTTTCAATTAACATCCACTAGTAAAAATGATCCACGTAAATGGATTATAAATGAATGGTTCGTGTTTAATCTGAACATGCACTCGATAATATTGGGCCATACTAGTTGCAACAATTAGAGGAAGCGAATCTTGAATTATTCACCAATTTCTTTATGGTATCTGTCATATGTTGTTCATAGTTTCAATTCAGACCAAACATATACTGTTTCATTGACATTTGACTTTAAGTGAAATATCACTTTGAACTCTTCAAGAAACCAATAGAAAGTAAGCTCATTTAATGTCTGATCGAATGCATGTAGCATGAAATATTGGACTAGGTGTCAAAAAGGCGAATTTTGGGTAATCTATCTATGCTTTTTCAATAAAGTCCTTTTAATGTATTCTTGAGAAAATTTATGGCACTTTTCTTTCTAACTTGCTTGATGGTGATAAATATATTCAACTGCCAACTAATTAAATCTTGAATCCATAGTGGAAATGGCAGCGTTTGGTATGGGAAATCCGTATGGCAACCCCTTCATGCAAAATATGGCTGCCATGCTCTATGGTTCACAAGGTCCCTTACCATCTTGGGGTGGTCAACTCAGCAGCAAAGCCGTACAGTCACTTTGGATGAACCAAATGGATAATAAACCTCTGCATCATCAGGAGGAGGAAGAAGTGGATGATGAAGAATTGGGAGTAGCTGAAACATATGCTGATTATATGCCGTCCAAGTTGAAACTTGGGCGAAAGCACCCCGATCCTGTAGTAGAAACTGCTTCATTGTCATCCGTTGCTCCAGCAGATGTTTGGTATAAACTGTCCATTCCTGATGAAACAATAAGAGGTGGTCATCTCTCTGCTTTGCAGTTGGAAAGCATAACTTATGCTTCACAAGCTCATGAACATATTTTACCTGATGGCTCCAGAGCAGGGTTCTTAATAGGTCAGTTTAAATAATGACTTTTGGTTTTTTTTTACATATATTGTTGTTTAAGGTGATGGCGCTGGAGTAGGTAAAGGCCGAACCATTGCTGGAATAATTTTTGAGAATTATTTGAAAGGACGCAAAAGAGCTATTTGGGTATCAGTATCAAATGATTTGAAATACGATGCAGAAAGGGACTTGAAAGACATTGGAGCAGGCAAAATCGACGTTCATGCTCTGAATAAATTAAAATATGCCAAGATTTCTTCAGCAGTGAACAACAATGTTAAAAAAGGAGTGATATTTAGTACTTATTCTGCATTGATTGGAGAAAGTAACTCTGCAGGCGGTAAATATAAATCTAGGCTGAAACAATTACTTCAGTGGTGCGGTCAAGATTTTGATGGACTTATAGTTTTTGATGAATGCCACAGAGCAAAAAATTTGTGTCCGGTAGGATCATCAAAACCAACAAAAACTGGTAAGATTTAAAATAATTCAGAAACCATCTGAAAATGTACACTTCAATTTACATTTCAGGTCTGACTGTACTTGAAATACAAAATAAATTGCCGAAGGCTAGAGTAGTCTATGCTTCAGCTACAGGAGCATCTGAACCAAGAAATATGGCATACATGGTTAGGCTAGGAATGTGGGGCGAGGGAACCCCTTTCAAAGAATTTGCAGATTTTATTTCAGCTGTTGAGAAAAGGGGAGTTGGTGCAATGGAAATTGTAGCCATGGACATGAAGTTGAGAGGTAAATACATACACACACCCGGGAAAAATATATACACACTCCAAAACGTATAATTTTCAGGAATGTATATTGCAAGGCAGTTGAGTTTCCATGGCGTAGCTTTCAAAATTGAAGAGGTCCCTCTTTCTAAAGAATTTGGGAAAGTTTATGATGCAAGCGTTAAGCTGTGGGTAGAAGCTATGCAAAAATTTCATGAAGCAGCTGAACTTGTTGATGCAGAGAACCGAATGCGAAAAACTATGTGGGGACAGTTCTGGTCGTCACATCAAAGGTTTTTCAAGTATCTCTGCATAGCCGCTAAAGTACCACACGCGGTAGCTGTTGCTCATGAAGCTATAAAAATGGGAAAATGTGTCGTTATCGGTTTACAAAGTACAGGAGAAGCTAGGACTTTAGAACAACTAGAGAGGGATGAAGGAGAATTAACAGATTTTGTTTCTACGGCTAAGGGTGTTTTCCAAACATTGGTTGAAAAACATTTTCCAGCACCTGATAGGACTAGGATTCAAAGATTACTAGGTTTAGAACCTCCTTCAAATTCCAAAAAAATCACTAATGGCAATGATGAAGGAAATACATCATCAGGAAAGCGAAAACCAAGTATGTCAAATTTTAAATATAACAATATTATCGTAAAATCTAACTTCACCTCTGCTTTTCAAAATGTCATAGTAAACTGTACGCTGATGTCTCTCAAATTTGTTCCTGTATAAACATTTATCACTTGACAGTAGAAGCTTAGTGTTCGGTTATTTAGAAAGTTTTAAAGGTTTGATGTCTAAAAAGGGAGAATTATAGTACTATCTCCTAATGATACCAATTTTGTAGACCAAAAGTGGTTGGGAATAATGTTTTCACAGTGTTGGTATGTTGGAAAAGTGTTTGTTTGAAGGTGGTTGACAATGTTTCGTGGTGTATTTCATCAGTTCGGACTTCCATTGTCTAATATAATATAAATTGATTTGAAATCCCTGAAAAAAAAAAAGATTAACCGAAAATAACAATTTTATTAAAAAGTGGAAAAGTGTATTTCTCTAAATTCATTCTACACTAAAGGTTCCAAGTTTCTAAGGGTATCTATAACTATCAATACATGAATGCGATTTTTTAAATTTCATTGAATATACATAGGCCACAACAAAATACGGAGATCATTATTAAACACTTTCTATTGAGGCCAGTGTGTAACAATGTTATGGATGAAAGTAAGAAGCATATCATTGTAGGCGACATGAATTCAAACATGTCAGTGATTGATTTCACCACCACAATTGATTAAATGTCCAACTATAAAATCCAAATCAAATCAAAGTTTATTCAATTCAGATTAATATAAAATATAAACCGTTACAATTTACATATTGACATAACATATAATCTGATTCAGCAAAATTTGTTCTTTCACGACCAAGACTGTGGAAGCGGACAGTCTTACAATTTTGCAAGAAATTTATGAAAAATAAAATTACTTTTTGTGACAAGAGTTCTGAAGTTGCTGGATCTATAAAAATAGTAAAAAAACTTGAAATGAATAGTGTGGAACTTGAATATAAATTAATAATCCATTGTAGAATCCACAATGATGATAAATACGTAAAAAATGAATACAAACAAATAAAAATAATAATTGCATAATAGTTCAGGAGCTGTTCATGTTCAGGAGATTGTTCATGTAACTTGAATTGCATGAAAGTTTTTAATCAAATTTGATTCCAAATGTTGTAAAACAAGAAAAACCACCTAATCACTTTTCATAAAAAAAAACTGCATGAAGATCTTCCAGAAGAGCTTTGTGCAAAAAATGAGAAAGAATATACATGTAACTGAAAAGAATTTCCAAGATGAACTAAAAATCCTATACATATGTAATAAAAGGAAGAAAATGAATTTGTTGAAAGTCATAGAAATTAACAAATCAATTATAAACCAGAAATATTTACCCCCTCCCTTCTACAGANGTTCAATAGAAATCTCACAATAAAGTATTTCTTGAATATGTTATGGATTTTCATCTCCACTCCACACTCAGCTATAAATCACATATTTCCAATGTAATTCAGAAATCCAAGAAAATGCTTGGCTTTATACAGAGAACCACGTGCGATTTTACTAACATCCCTGCTATCGAATCTCTTTATTTTTCCCTGGTAAGATCTCATCTCGATTATTGTTCCACAGTTTGGTCCCTTCATTATGTTACACATAAAGTGAAACTCGAGGCTGAATAGCACAATTTCCTGAGATATATTGCCTTCAAGATGCGTGTATACTATGACTATGTTCTATTAGAAAGCATATTGAACATACCTTCTCTCGAGGCACGTTGAAAACATAGAGACGTAATTCTTCTATTAAAAATGATCAGCGAACTGAGTACCAGTCTCGAGCTTCTATCCAAATTATCTCTACTTGTCCCCAGTCGTTCAACTAGGCAGTTGCAAACCTTTTGTTTCTTTTCAAAGATTCAATTACTCGTAAAACAGCTTCATACCCAGAACTCTTTGATTAGCTAACTCTTTGAATAACCTTCAAATTTTCAATATATGAGTTTCCTGCTTCAAAAACCATATTCTTGACGTAGCTATTCAACATTTTCAGCTTGGGCTGTTATTGTGTTAAGTGTTACTTGCCTGCAAGAATTAAATTAGTTCATATTGTTATATCTTGTGAATTTTTTCTTGGTTGATCTACGTTATCTCACTAGTTTGTAACTATTATTCTTATAATTTACTCTAAATCCATTACACTGCATCGACTACTATATAGCACTGTTATACTATGAATTGGGCCTGCCCATGTATATATAAATAAATTATATTAGTAGCACTATTTTTGAACACTCGATGCTGATTCTATTGACATCGAACATACGTGAAATGTGATATATTATTCTATTCCAAACATCATGGATTTTGTATCTCCAAGAAATTTTGGAACTTTTCACATTTATTGATTGATTTATTCATTTAAGTAGGACAATCCTAATTTACAAAAAATAAAATAGGTAACATACCTATTTTACAATAAATATAACTTCGGAAGGACTTCAGTCGATAGCCAGTTGAACAAAATTGTAATTTTGTTCAATAAATTACAATTATTATTATTATTGAAACGTATCATAACTGTAAGTATTAAGATATACAGGGCTATTCAAATTCGTTTTTGTACATGGGGATCTCGTAAACGATAAGAGATAGAGTTTCGGTTAAATTGTGACAAAGTTGCGTATTTTAGAGACCTATTCAATGATGTGAAAAAATCGAATATAGCT